AGCAAGAAAGCAAGAAAGCAAGCAAGCAAGCAAGCAAGCAAGCAAGCAAGCAAGAAAGAAAGAAAGAAAGAAAGAAAGAAAGAAAGAAAGAAAGAAAGAAAGAAAGAAAGAACATACCACATGATGAAGTCAAGGAAGAGATTTATTTATTTATTTATTTATTTATTTATTTATTGGACTTATATACCGCCCCATAGCGCTACGAGCACTCTCCGGGCGGTTTACAATTTTTAATTATACAGGCTACACATTGCCCCCCCAGCAAGCTGGGTACTCATTTTACCGACCTCGGAAGGATGGAAGGCTGAGTCAACCTTGAGCCGGCTACCTGGGATTTGAACCCCAGGTCGTGAGCACAGTTTTAGCTGCAGTACAGCGTTTTAACCACTGCGCCACGAGGCTCAGTGATAGCCCTCACCATGAGGCTTGTGATGCTGTCAGTCAGAATAGGACATTTTGGGGGAAAATGACAGAAACACAGATGGGCGACAGATCTCATTTGTCCCAATGGATCATTAGCAAGCACCTCTCATGTATTTGTTTTTAATTCATCCTAACCCCAAAGCCCCATCCTTCATATCTCGTTTGTAGCTTCAGACTAGAGATGGGGATATTCGTATTGTAAACGGAATACGAATATCCCCATACCATCTGGACCTAAGGAGGGTCTGGCCCCCGGGACCGGATCTCTCCACTCGCACATCCCGGCGCCACGAAGGACCCGCTTTTCCTGCCAGTGGTGCCCAGAGCGCCACTGTCTTGCTGCGTGGCTGGCCAACCCAGGCAGGGGGTGGGAAGATGAGTCTCCCTGCATGGCTGCTGTGTACAAATATTATGTTCATTTTTTGGTCAGATTATTAAAGGAGCCTCATGGCACAGTGGTTAAACAGCAGTACTTCAGCCAAAACTCTTCTCTAGACTCGGGTTCAACCCTATGTGGCTAAGCTAGCTTGAGGTTCATTCAGCCTTCCCTTCATCGGTCAGTAAACGGAGTGCCCAGCTTGCTTGGAAGGGCAATGTGTAGCGTGCATAAATAAATTGTAAACCACCCAGAGAATGCTTTTTATAAGCAGCACATTTTGCTTTTTTTATGAGGTTTGGTTTGGGGCAGGTTCCCTTTTCTATGTGTGAAGGATCTCAGTGAAGTGGTCCAGAGCTCTTCACATTTGATTGAGGCGATGCTTCTTTTGATATGGTGATTAATTTCACGATGAGAAAAATTTATATGCAAAGTGGCTCATAATTGAGGTGCAATACCATTGTTTCTTAATGTGGAGGTGGGGTCTTGCTGGGACGAATTATTAGAACTCCGATTAATGAAATAACAACACAAATAATCCTATAGTTCTTTCCTTTCCTTGTTCCTACTTTTGTTTTATTTTTATTTTGTTCTGTTCTTTTATAAACCTTTCTGGAGAAGTATGCCCTTCCCTTTCTTTCCCTTGCATTCATCTTGCCAGGTACTATTGTGGCTTTTTAAAAAAATTAACATTTTTTAGTGCTGGCTAAGAACCAATTTGAATTTCTGGCTAAGTGTAGTAAATTGCCGGAATGAAAGCAAAATGGTACAGTGTCTGGCTGAAGCGTGTTACAGTACTCATTTTAGGATAGGTCTTTAACACAGACTTTGCTTTTAAAGCACAGTGGTGCCCTGCTTGACGATGATAATCGTTCCAGCAAAATCACTATTAAGCGAAATTGTAGTCAAGAAAAAAAAAAAAAAATCCCCAATGGAATGCATTGAAAACCAGTCAGTGCGTTCCAGGGGGGGAAATACCTCATCATCCAGCAAAGATTGCCCATAGAGAACCGCCAATCAGCTGCTCTAAATCGCTGTAATGCGAAGCTTCTGTCTGGAAAGCAGCCATTTTGAGAAGGGAGGGAAGGCATTTTGCGGAGCCAGAAAAAAACATCATTTTGCAAACAAACGGTTCGCGAAGCAGGCTCCTAATCAATGTAAAGCGGATTTCCCCCATTGGAACCATTGTTTTGCGATTGCAATAGCGATCGCAAAAATGTCATCATCTAGCAATTTCGATGTCATGCAGGGTAAGCGTCTAGCGGGGCACCACTGTACAAATGAAACCATTCTGTTCATGCTTGCCTCTGTGTATGAGTGAATGAAATGTCTGTGGCAGTCTTTGCATGTACTCTACTATCTTCCAAAATTACTTTTTTTCCTTCAACAAGAAATGAACCTTGACATCTTCATGCCCTTCTTACCAACCACATTCAGCCTTTCTTTTTGTTAACATAACAGCCCTCGGGACCATCATGTTCTCACTAGAGATGGGCGCAAACCAGAAAAATGGAGGTTCGTCTTCATTCGTTGAAGTCCACGAACCAAGAATTTCTGAATTTTTTTCCCAGCGAACCATGAATTGGTTCATCGGCCCTATAAAAGCCGGGCACCTAGAGACATCCCGTGCTCCCTCGCCCTGTCACCGCCCTCATTGCTGCCAGTGCTGCTGCCTCCATCACTGCTGCCATCTTCAAAGGCAGCCCCGACTGGCTCCTCCTCATTTCTTGCTTCATGCCCTTCTCTAGTCCTCACTCATCCCTCTCTTATTATTAGCACAAGAGCTGCAGGATTAGGTTAAATGGCTTCTTAAGTTCTCTTGTTGTAGAAATGGGTACTGCATTATCCATTATGATGGGGAAACCTGTCTTCTGAGGCTGACTTTGATGTTTGCTTCTATGGACATGCTGCCTTTCACTCAAATTATTACTGTTATTATTTTCAGATGCGGAACAGGAGTGGAAAGGCCCTTTCTACTTTATTCAAGGCGCAGACCCACAATTTGGACTGATGAAAGCTTATGCGATTGGGAACTGCAGTAGCGAAGGTGATGAATGGGCGGAGGAACTGAGATTAACCCGGCAAGCAGTGCAAGCAATCAATCAGCTGAACCCCAAACCAAAATTCTTTGTCCTGTGTGGGGATCTCATCCATGGCATGCCAGGTAGGGTGGTAAAAACTGACTGATGAAACATTTCTTTTTGAGTACTGTATGTCTGAGTACAGTGGTGCCTCGCATAGCGATCGCTCCGTATAGTGGTGAAATCGCTTTGCGATGGACGTTTTGCCATTGCAAAAGTGATCACTTTGCGATGGTCCCTATGGGGAAATTTCGCTTTGCGATGATCGCAGGGAAGCTAAGTGAGGCACCACTGTACATTCATGACTAACAAATCGCCTGCGAGTTATGGGCAGCAACCCAAGCAGATCTGTGCGCAGTAACGTTGTTTGCCTAACAAGAATCTAAAGTTTCATTTAAAATGCATGAAGAACATTTGGCCTTCCACGCATTTTTGGATTTCAGTTTCCAGGAGCCCCAGCCAGCATAGCCAGTGGCAAGGGATTATGGTGGTGGTGATTCAATATATCTGGAAAGCTAATGTTTCCTTGACCCATGATTGCATTGAACATTTAAATGTTGCCTCTTTGTGGTCACATCAGTGCATTTTGAAAAAAGAACAACACAGCAATCGGAATCTGGCAAAATAATAAGTGCTGAAATAAATTTTGCCTCGGTATTACAGTAATGCTGGCCTCTAATACATAGGGATTTGTATTTTTTCTGTACAGAGAATATAATCAATTTGTTTGTTTTGCCTCTGGAAAAAAACTATAGTGCCACCTGTTCTGGGTTGGCATGTACCACATCTGTTTACGAAACAAAATAGTGGCAGAATGAAGGCTGGAGATGGCAAGTTTGAGCAGTTCAAAATTCTCCCCCATCCCACTTCTGAAAGGAGTATAGGAAGCTGCTTCATCATGATTCAGAACAGTGGTCCATCTGATAGCTCTGTATCATCTATACCAGGTGTGGGCAGCTGTGGTCCTCTATTTTTTTCCCCCTTACAACTTCCATCCTCCATAGCAGAATAGCTAGTCTTTATAGATTATGGAAGTTGCAGCCAAACCACATCTGGAAGATGAGAGTTGATTTCAAAGCATCTGGAAGGCCGGTACTGACTGACTGCAGCTTCTTGAATTCTGGATTGCACTTCTTCCCGGTCCTAATTTGAAATTGAAAGGGTTCCGCCTGGGACCTTTTGTCCATAAAGCATGGACTCTAGCACCAAGTTATGAACTACCCTTAAATTGTGCTTTGGATCTCCTTGAACCTGCCCCCACTCCCGTGGCAAGAAGGGAGTACATAGCTGTTCCTTTGGAATTCTTGGAATTTGTTTTTCAGAATTTTCACCTATATCTTCTTCATTGGGCTTCCAGTAGTAGACTCCAACTACTATGTTCCTTTTGCTTTTTGCCCCAATTATATTAATCCAGATGCTCTTGATAGGGCAACCAAGCTCATCCTCCTGCATTCCTATGCAGGAATATGTGTGTTTGCCGTACACTGCTACTCTGCCTCCTTTTCTTTCTCTTTTTTTTAAATTTTATCCTTCAATTGCTGTATTCCAGTCACAGGAGTCATCCCACCAAGTTTCAGTTATCCCTATCAAGTCATATTTACCCTCCTGAACTAGGAGCTCTAGTTCTTCTTGTTTGTTTCCTATACTCCTGCCAATTCATATGTAGACACCAGAGATTGTATAATTTGTGGCCGTTTTTTAAAATATATTTTTACGTAGGTTCTTCTGGTATCTCTGATTTGCGATAGGACCTAAAAAGCTATTTAAATCCTGAGAAGCCATTATATAGACTTGAGTTCTCTTATGCCAACTAGGACGTTATTCCTTGCTTCTTGAACCTGTGATGTCTAAACTGGAATACTCTAATTTGGTAGGAGGCCACAAACTACAGTTTCCCAGATTTGATTTCATGGAAAGCTGGTTTAAGAAACTTATACGTCTTGGCTAAATTTAGATGTATGAGGTGGCTGCAACTCCAGCGTCCCCTGACTGATTAATGTCTTGGCTGGCTACAGTAACTGGTGTTCAACAATATCTAGAGAGCAATTAGTTGCCCCTGCCTAATTTATTGTGACACTTGAATTGGGCTAAAGTGTGTCGGCATCTGGTAACATTAGACACATCATGATCTCTAGATTTAACTTGCCTCAGACAGTTGTTGCCCCATGGCACTTAAAGCACTCTCTGGGCAGTTTTACGAGTTAATTTTGCAGGCTACACATTGCCCCCACTCCAGAGAGCTCAGTACTCATTTTACCGACCTCGGAAGGATAGAAGGCTGAGTCAACCTCGAGCCGGCTACCTGGAATTGAACCCCAGATCGTGAGCACAGTTCTGGCTGCAGTACAGCGGTTTAACCACTGCACCAATGAGGCTCCTATAAAGTGGTTTAAAATAACCTACCCAAAACTAAACATCACGGCAATTAGTGATTGCGGAAAGGCTGCATTTATGGATCCTGCAGTTTCTGCCTCTGAAATGACACTGGGGGGAGTGTTCCAGGCTGCGGAAAGGCAGGCTCCGAAGTAAGGGAGGCAAACCAGGTAGGTAATAAGGAAATCCATGAAGTGGGCATCTGTGGGATATTGCCTGATGGCACTTAGTCAGTTGCAGAATAAAACAAGTGAGTTATAGTGGAAGAAGCATAGGGTGATTTTTTTCTACTTTGAAGAAAAGGTGAGGAAAAGTATATTATTCTTTCCTCTCTCACCTTCCTGTCGCCCTGATTTCTTAGGCTGCTTAGCAACCTTACTATCTAGACCCTCCTTTCCATTGGGCCTCTTCTTTCATGTTATCCAGATCCCTCCTGTCCCTACTCACCTTTTCATTTCCTGTCAGTGTCAATCAGTAATTTGTTTCTGTGTATCCAGACTGGTTTTTTCTCTCTGTCCAAAGAAGCTACGAATGTGTTCTCCCACATTTGTAAATCTTCCCGAACAAAAAGCAAAACCAGCTCATGCTGTGGTCACACTGGAAATAAGAACCGCATTTATCATTCACGCAACACCAAGGTGAAATTGATTTATATGGGCTGAAAAGTAAGCTTATTTCAACTGGCCAGGGACTTTTTTAAAAATACTTCGCTTTTAAAATCGATTTAATTCAATGTGGTTTGGCAAAATGGGTCAATGTCAGCGGAGTAGATGCCAAAACTGGTTTAAATCACCAGAAATAAGTCAGTTTCATTCAGTGCATGTGAATGCAGCCACCAGTTTAAATATCACATGACCTGGACCTGATTTTTTAAAAGTCTGAACAAAAATCGATTCAAATTGCCCGTGTGACTCCAGCCTCAGGGCTCACAGCATTCAACAATGTCTTACAATTGCAACCGTCTTTATACTCCCTCACCACTTTTCTTCACTGCCAGTTCTATGGGCAATCAAATTTAAAGTACAGAGTAGGCACTCAGATTATTAGAATAAACATTTTCAGAAGGATGATATAGTTTAGCATGCTTATATTGCATTCCAAAATGGACTGCATATGGATTATAATCTCTAATTGCAGATGGATTATAAAGTAAAGGTAAAGGTTCCCCTTGACAATTTCTCCAGTTATGTCCGACTCTAGGGGGGCCAATCCATAGAGCCAACGTTTGTCCGAAGACAATCTTCCGTGGTCACGTGGCCAGCACAACTAGACTTGGAATGCCGTTACCTTCCCACCGAGGTGGTACCTACTGTATTTATCTATTTGCATTTTGCATGCTTTTGAACTGCTAGGTTGGCAGGAGGTGGAACATGCGATGGGGGCTCACTCTGCTGCGTGGATTCGATCTTACGACTGCAGGTCTTCTGACCTTGCAGCACAGAGGCTTCTGCGGCTTAGCCCACAGACCACCACGTCCCTCTATATGGATTATAACCAAAGCTAAAAACATTTTATTGCCGTAATCCCTGCTACAAATGGTTCTCTTTAAGCAGGAAAAGAGGTTTCTTCTGGCATTTGTTTCACAGTAGTACATACGTATTTGCTGTTTTACATTTTGCTCCTATTCTGTAGCAAAAGGCAGTATGTCTGATATGTTATGCACAGCGTATAGTTCTTTCAATCCTTCTTGGGGAGAGAGAGTTATGAAAGTGAAGAAATGTATTCCAACTGATATATGTTGTGCATGCATGTTCCAATTAGTCAGAGTACTAAAGGGTTTCTTCCTCACGCTCACCCTGTGCTTTGCAGAATATGACTTATGGTAAACATACATTTCAGTCACACAATATGTGAAACATTAAAATTGAACATTCTGAACAGCCAGAATCTTTACTGGCAGCGTGGATGCTCTGTGTTGTATGAAGATAGATGGTACCCTCTTTTTGCTTCCAAGCAGTGGCAAAGGATCTGAAAGCAATATATGCTTTTCAGAGGCCTACCTGCTCGCTAACTGTCTGTCTGTCATCAGCAGAATAGCTTGGGCTAAGAGCATTCTCTTTGACGTACCTAGTCACACACTATTAAGTCACGAGTGCTTTTTAATTGGCAGAGTTGTGTGGAGCAGTGAAAATTTTCGGAATCAATAAAGAACATCTAACTGGTCTGGAAATATCCGCAGGTGAGAGGGCTATTAGCAATAGAGGAGGGTTTGTGGCAAACATTTAATGAGAGCGTACGATGCAGTGGTTAGAGTGTTAGTTAGACTGAGTGTGCAGTCAGACATGTTATGGGTTTGTAGTCCAAAACATCTAGAGCAGTGGTCCCTAACCTTGAGCCTCCAGGTGTTCTTGGACTTCAGTTCCCAGAAATCCTGGCCAGCAGAGGTGGGGATGAAGGCTTCTGGGAGTTATGGTCCAAGAACATCTGGAGGCCCCAGGCTGGGAACCACTGGGCTAGAAGACATTGTGTCGGAGAAGGCTAGCTTGTTCCTTTTAAAAGGTCTCCAAACCAGCGGTTTCTGCTGCATTATTCATAAACTTCATAAGATTACAGTGGTGCCTTGCTAGACGATGATAATCCGTTCCACTGAAATCGCTGTTTAGCGAAATCATTGTCTAGGAAAAAGCATTTCCCCATTGGAATGCATTGAAACCTGTTTAATGCGTTCCAATGGGGAAGAATTGTCGTTGTCTAGCGAAGATCGGCCATA